ATATTGGAAACATTACAAAAAGAGACGATAGTACAAAATAGGATGTGCAAAAGTAATACTATGTATTTATGTAAAAGATGTAGAATGCATCTACACCTGAATGTTTTGAAAATTTTTTTCTTCTAAATGTGCCTATCTTCTAGAGATGTTGGCGACCACATTGGCCCATCTTATTCTATTCACAGCAGCTCAAAATAGATCAGTTGACGTTAGACCAGTCCATTTCCTAAGATTGGCCAGCCAGCATATACGCCCACGTCCAGGGCCTCTTTTACCCTCAATCTTGCCCTGTAGAATCAACTGTAGAGGTCGGTATTTATCATTACGCATGATATGGCCGAAGTAAGCCAATTTTCTGTTTTTTATGGTGTTAATAATTTCTTTGTCTTTTTTAGCCTTTGGAGAGTAGTTACGTTACTTGTGTGATGTATATATAAAACCCTCAACATACGTCGGTAGCACCACGTCTCAAATGCCTCCAATGCTGTATGGCATCTTCTGTAAGGCTCCAATTTTCTACTCCATAGGGAAAGACACTAAAGAGGGAACATCTAAGACTTCTTATGCGTATATTGATAAAGATTAGTTGCAGAGAATCTTCCTAAGGCTGTTAAAAGAGCTGCTGGCTTTTTCAATACGAGTTTTTATCGTATCCTTAGTATCCTTTAAGTATCCTTAATATTGCAGCCCAAATAGCATATTTTTTCCACTCTTTCTAACGGTGTATCGTTAATTGTAATATGGGCGTTTATGCCGGAGTTTTTAATGCTATACCAATCAATGCATGAGTTTGGTATACCAGAGAAACTTATCCGACTAACGAGAATGACAATGTCTAACTTAGAAGCCACTGTTAGAATACAGGAAGAGAGTTCTAGATCCTTTGAGATAAAGCATGGACTCAGACAAGGGGATGCTCTGGCTTGCCTCCTATTTAATATTCCCTTAGAAAAGGCAGTCTGAGATACACGAATTAGGGATGGCGGTACTATTTACAATAGATCGATATAAATCCTAGCATATGCTGATGACATTGACATCGTAGGACGTAGCAAGCGAGATGTTGAGCAATATCTCCTAGAATTGGAAACAGCGGCGAAACAGGTCGGTCTAGACATCAACGAAGACAAAACCAAGTACATGTTGGTTACAAAGGATCCGATAGCAAATGAGGAACGAGAAACAGTCTTTGAAAGTCATACCTTTGGACGTGTTGACAACTTCACATAACTTGGGTCGCTATTGACTTCTACCAATAAAACAAGCGAAGAAATCAAAAGACAAATAAATCTTACAAATAGGGCATACTATGGACTCCAAAAGCATTTCCACTCAAGAAACATTCAAAGAATAACTAAAATTATTATATACAAAACATTGCTGAGGCCGGTCCTGATATATGGAGCAGAAAAATGGACTCTAACGCAGAAAGATGAAAGACTTTTGGGGATATTTGAGCGTAAAATACTCCGCAAAATATTTGGAGTTGTAAACGACCAAGGGCAGTGGCACAGAAGATATAATTTTGAATTGTATCAGCTCTTTGATGAGCCAGATATCATAACGTTTATTAAAACACAGCGACTTAGATGGGCTGGACACATAATACGAATGCCAGAAAATACGATTGCTAAAAAGCTAACCACAGGAACACCTGTAGGAAAAAGAAACAAAGGCCGACCGCGAATTAGGTGGTTAGGTGGTTGGATGGAGTGGAAACCGACTTACGAATATTAAAAATCAGAAGGTGGCAACATGTTGCCAAAAACCGAACAGAATGGCGACGAATCTTAGAGCAGGTCAAGATCCACAGAGGATTGTCGAGCCAAAGATGATGATGATGATGCCGGAGTTCTTACTAATGATCATTATTTTTCTCTTTTTGCAATTTAGTTTTAGGCCGTATTTATTACATGCTTCTACAACGTTATCCATCATCTTTGGAGCCCCTGCGCACTATCTACCAGCAACACTGTATCGTCTGTATATTTAATGTTGTTTATAAGTTGGCCATTTACAAGTAACCTGCCGGATTGTCGTCTAGACAGATACTAAGAACTAAGAATACAGAAATGCACTTCACGTTATATTTGCGGTTACACTTGTTGTCTAGTGGAATGGGAATTATAAGAGTGTCCAATGCCTCCCGCTGTCCAAACCCTCCCGGCGCTCCCCTACCACCAGTGATACATGTACCACAGGTTGAGAACCGCTGCCTTAGGATATAATAAGTCTATTTATGATAGCCGTGTTCAACCTAAAATAAACAAATAATGTGCAAGTGGAAAATAAAATTTGTAAAAATTTAAAAATTTTATAATCGATTAAATTTATCTCGAAAAAGAATTGGCCGATTGAATCTTAGAAGGTTGCATTCGATTTCTAATTAAGAGAGATAGATTAGAGTGCATTTTAGACTAAAAATATTCAAATGATTTGCCACATTCAATAAAAAAGCAAAATCCTCATCGGCCTTTGTCATATCACTAGTAGTTTTACCGTTACTAGCCTGTGATTTGGCACGATTTCTGATTCTTTATATGGCATAAAATGTTTTAATTTGTTCGTCATAATTCGGAAAACACATGCACATAGAATAATGACAGGAAAGGATCTAAATTATTAGAATGGCGTCATAAAAATTTGTGGAAGCAAACGACGAACCTGTGTAGGAAAATAGTATATGTTTCTAATCTCGGTTCGCTAATGCCAGTCCGAACTGTCTAGTGATTTTAGTAATTATGTTTTTACGAAGTTAGTTACTTTTTGACAGACTAGAAGTGGCTGGAAATTATTATACAACCAAGTACACGTGCTCATAGCGCATTTCATTAGAGTATTTCGTCGACCTCTTTTGCAAACTTATACTATGAATTAGAAATTTATAGCATGTATATAGAATGTAAGTTTCTATTATATATAAAAAATATATTTTATAAAAAAAGTTACGGTAATTTAGTTTATATCGTTAGGTTGCGCCAAATGTAGGCAATCAACTTAAACTTTTTGTTGGAATTTAACTGGAGTTTCTTGAGAATATATTTAATAGTTTCCAGTTAATTTATTATTTTTTTAAAAGTGATGATAATAATGCTATATGAGCAATATTTCAAATGATATCTAATCACAGGACGTACTTAATATTGTGTTATAAAGTATCGATAGAAAAATATAATCCAATATCATCAAAAATATAATTAAAACAAATCATAATCTTCTATTATTCCTATTAGAAACTAGTTTTGGACGACCCGGGATTTTACCTTTTTTATCTAACGTACTTTATTATGAGGATTTTACTATAACACAATATTAAGTACGTTTTGTGATTTCGGCATTATTATCATCACTTTTGAAAAATAATAAATTAACTGGAAAATAATAAACGTTTATTAAAAACATTCTCAAGAAACTCCAGCTAAATCCTAACAGAAATTTTAAGTTGGTTGCCTACATTTGGAGCAACTTAACGATATAAACTAAATTACTGTAACTTTTATTTAATTTTTGACGCCATGTCAAACTGAACTGGATGTTAACTGAAATGTTTTTGTTATTAAGAACATATTTACATAATTTTATAAATATATTTTAATGATCCACCTACGCCGAATGGGCAAATAATTAAATAAAAATGGTTGGTGTTTTGAATAAATCTTTGTGCAATTTGATTACCTCGTAATTTAACAGCATCCTTACTCATCTAAAAATATGAACTTTTAAAGAACATTTATCAGATTTATATTTATTTAAGAACAACTTACCAACGCATTATCTGATAGAACAAATGGAAAACTTTGACTATCTCTAATAATAAAATTCAAAATATAACTAACAAAGAATTAAACAAAAATAATGGAACAGTAAAACTATATAAGCTAAAATAAACAACGCGAATAATACAAATATTTACTACAATATGTTCAATTGTAACAACTCAAATATTATATTTTAAATATACAGGGAAAATTTGATGGGTTTAGTATACACTTCCACTATTTGGAATAATTCTTCTTTTTTTAAAGGAAGAAGTCTGCAATAGTAGTATATTTGAGCTATTAATACTGAGAAGTAGGAATTTTTGTGTTGTAGGTTTCCGACAATGAATCTGTCAAAATATGCCCGAGCTAAGCGAATGGAGAATATATAAACTCTCCATAAACATCCCTATTAAATTGAAAACCGATACCGCCTCTCACGTACTCACACGAAAGAGACTATCAAATAATTAACTAGGTCAAAATGTTCCTAACATAATAATTAATGTAATGTTGAACTTGCCGGCAATTAGAGGGAGACAGAGCCGTCTTAATCAATTTCAAGTTCTCCACAATTACGACCCAACTCGGGCCCTAAACACCGATTAATTCTAGATGACTTTTCCCGACTTCTAAAATATTTTAATTGCTCTAAATTTCCCAATTCCCTCAAATCCAATCGTGAATGTATGAATATAAAGAGGTGCCTCGAGGGATTTCATTTACGTTCTCGAAATTGTTTTCAGACAAATTGGAAAAATAATTAAATGAACTGTTTTACGCTCGGAAAAATAGGGCTACTCGCACTAGGTGGCCTCTAGGTTAAAATCTATCGTCTAGGGCCTTATTAGTTTAAGGTTAATATAGTTTCCATTTCCTTTACGTTTATACTGGCAGTTATAGTTAAAGTTATAGTAGTTACTGTAACAAGTACAACCAAAATAACTGACTGCTTTTTTTCTACTAATTATTAAATTTTTTTTCAGATTTCTTGCAATATGGTGGCCTCTGAAGTGCCAAATCACTAAGCGAAGAGCGAGGATCATCATCATTTTCATCTGGTTCGTCGCTTTAACCACAACCATCCCTTGGGCGATTTTCTTTGACTTGGTGGTCATCTTTAGCGACGCTCCCAACGTCCAACTGTGCATCGAAGTATGGCCTGAAGAAATGAACGGATCTCTGTACTTTCTTACGGCGAATCTTCTGTTCTGCTATATTTTCCCGATGATTCTCATCACCATGTGTTACGTCCTAATTTATATTAAGGTAATATAAACTAATTTTTTCTTAATTCACATTAAGACTAATGTATTTGCAGGTCTGGAAGCGGGATATTCCCACAGATACCAAAGACGCTCAAATGGAGAAGATGCAGCAAAAATCTAAAGTCAAAGTGGTCAAGATGCTGATAGCAGTGGTAATATTGTTTGTTATATCTTGGTTACCACTGTACGCCATTTTCGCTAGAATTAAATTAGGTGGAGATATCGAACCATGGGAGGAAGAGATTCTACCTATAGCTACTCCCGTGGCCCAATGGTTAGGAGCATCCAATTCCTGTATCAATCCGATTCTATACGCATTTTTCAATAAAAAATATAGAAGAGGTTTTGTAGCCATCATCAAGAGCAGAAAGTAAGATTTTGAAATTCATTCCGTACATACTTTGTATAGAAAAGTGTTAATTATACCTAGAGACTGGCAAACATGTACTAAAAATCTCCAAAATATGCACGTAACATGCAATAAAATGCAAACTAATTGTGATCTAATAATATAAAATATGCATTTATAATTTAGGTATGTGCAATTTTTTCTAAAAAGAATTTTCTATTAAAAAAAGGCGATTTTCAATTAAAATAAATCTAATTATTATTGGTTTAATTTTTTCGAAACTTTCTAATTTACAACATAAAAATTGTTTAAAAAATATAATTGTACAATACACAAAAAAAAATTACAAAAATACCCTTATACTAACTATAAACAAAAATCAGGGAAAAAATACTAAAAATATTGGAGAGGCTAGAATGCTGATATGTCTCTAATACATGTCTCAAGATAATATTGATATGGAGTTGTTCCAAATCCTAGTCCAGTAACAGTATCTCTTTATGGTGTGATATATTGATATGAAATGGAGTCGTACCAATGGTTTCATTTGGTTAACTGATTAAATAGTGAAAAGAAACAGAGCATATCCTTTTTTCTTCATAGTTACCAGCTATTGGATTATTCACGTTGTACCAATTTTTATTATATCTTCTATCAAGAAAGCGAGAAATTATTATAAACTCAAAGAATGAAAATATAGTGAAGTGTTTTAATTTTATTTAAAGGTTTAATTTTTCTATTATTCCTATATATTAAATAAATATTTTGTAATTTATAACTATAATATTTTGAATGTAAACAAATTTCGAAATTTGGGGTTATGGCTTTTTACATTGGCTTTAAGAAATAATCGAAGTGCTATTGCTGAACATGAAAGAATGTATTTCCATGAATGTCTGAACATGAGAGAATGGAAAAATGTTAGATGCATACATTTTGTATCTTGTTCTGGTTGTAGGTTCAATTCAGTTCTATTTGTCTGAATTTACCACAATCTTTTGAGTCTAGAAGAAAATGTTTCTCTTATAATCTTGCAGCAGGTTGCTTTGGACTTAAAACCACGTTTCTGCAATTACCTCCGATTTAGAAAATTCAGAACACACTCGTTCATAAACATGTTTCAGCATATGTTTGACATCATCAAAGAGGTATTGAACATGTCACTTACGTTTTACTACACAGCTTTGTAAATCTTCCAATTAATTAGAGGGTTCCAGTGGCTCTTTAGTTGCAGAATTATTATCACACTGCGGACGCCACCTTTTAAAAATATCTTCATAAAGTGGTAAAAGAAGTTTAGAAAGAACACTGATGAAGTCACAACCAAACCCATATGCAGTTCACTATTTGAATTTACCTGAACGCTGTAGTTTCGCTGGTTTAAAAATAAAATGTTATACCTACCTACCCAAGTGTAAGCCACTGTGCGGTCGAATTGTATTTTTTCTGATAAACTACGTTATTGTTTCGAAAGCTTATATATATTGTTATACCTTACCCGAAGGATGCCTAAATCTGTCGATACAAGATAACGCATTATGATTAGTCATAAGAGCGATATCCGATTTTTTCATTGGCTCTTGGTCCACGTGCACTGATTAACAGTTCGATGAAAACTTCAACTGGGTGACTGCCCATATTTTCAAACATTATACCAGGCACATCTGAATGTAAATATCGATGAGAATATTAAACCTTAGTATTAATATAAATGTTAGTCATTGATCATTTTGTAGTTAATAACTACTCCTGGTAGAGTACTTTTATATTAATTTTTATTGCCTGCTTTTTCTACATTTGCTACATTTCGGATATAATTCTTAGAGCTTTATAATCTAAACCGGATTTTTTAGACATTTTTATTAACTATTGATATACACTGTTACTGTTAAAGATTTTTTGATAATCTAGGCATCAAACATGAATGTCGACAATTATTCCAGTCTCTAGTTATAATTCCTATTTGTACCTTTTGCTGTATCTTGTAATTTACAAATTTTTACAGATGTTGCGGAAGACTGAGATATTATGAAACCGTGGCTTTGATGTCGTCGTCCACCAGTATGAGAAAGTCCTCACACTTTTACAACAATAACTCGTCAACAAGAAAAGTACCGCCCGTGCAAGACAACGCTGTCTCCTACATATACAACAATACCGGGGTCTGAACCCTGAAACGGTCCACCCCCGTTTAAAAGGTAAGTACAATCCACAAAAATAAACTCCAAACAACTTTTCTCGGAAATTTTTGGTCATATTGATTCTTCTTTTTGTTTTACAGGGCTTGGTTCAACTTGTGACCATTTTGCTCACCGTTTTACGAAAGAAATTTCGACCTAGACGTTTTGGCGACGAGTCATTGACTATGTCCGTGAAACCAACCAACCAAAAAAAAAATAAATCATTGTACCATAAATGTATTGAATTTGTCTTGACGTAAGAATAAGAGAAAAAATTTGTAGTTTTAAGGAAACCAAGGCAGAAATTTTGGTATCACAGTACCTTATTTGTAAGCTTATGGCAGAAAATTGTAGTGACCGACACTTTGAAACAGATCTAAGATAATATATCTTTTTAACGATATTGTACTTCACCTGAAGCGTGTCTTAAAACAAAACTTGTTGATATCGTAGTAGATTTTTTGGTTTTGTGTTCATCGTACGAGAAGCGTTGGGTTAACTTACATTTGATATATCTCTATAGGCTTTCCGAACTACCTAATAGAATAGTATATTCTGTAATTTTTATGATAACCGACTATAATATAGTCTATATTTTTTAACATATGAATCAAAAACAATTAAATATTCGATTATACGGGCCCAGACATATATGAATGTATTTAAATATTTGATACTATATATGTGATTTTGCCAATTAGTCAACAATATATATATTTCATATCAACTATAATTCGGTCTTATAATGAGAGGACCTAAATATCGCTTACTACGGTTAATCATTCAGGGCAAAATCGAAGGAAAACGTTGAGTCGGAAGAAAACAACTGTCCTGACTGCGTAACATTAGACAAGACAGGTTAGGACATTAGACTGGACAGGTCGAAAGGTCGAGGAACTGTTTCATCTAGCTGCCGACCGAGAATCATTTCATCAGCTTGTCAATATGACGATAGCCAACGCTTGAATACAAGCACGGCACACAAAGAAGAAGAAAATAATACAATTATAAAATAAACAAAAAAAAGCAATTTCTGCCGCCAATTAGTTGGACCAAATATTTAGTCAAATGTTGAGTCACCCTTAGTTTTTTAAGACTGCATTAATTCTTTTGGCATATTGCCTACTAATGTTTGGCAGTAATCTGGGTGATTAGTATTCCAAATTTCCACTTTCCACTAAAACAAATATACACTTTTTTTCTTAATTATTTTTGATTTCCTAGAAAATTGCCGTTACATATATGTAATACTAGGAAGATATAGGAGCAAAAATATTTAAAATATTCCGTATTATAAATTTAAAAATAACAAACAAATAATACAAAACAAGATGAAAAAATATAATCAAATTATTTTAGATAAAAGTTTATGTTGCACTTGATGCATAATCCCACGTTGCACTTGCAACACATGGTACGTACATGCGAACTGCAGCCCTCACGTGCACAACGTCTCCTCTTTTTATGGGGAATATAGGTCAGGAGATGATCAATCTTGTCATGTCTTATGCTGGCTACTTTGGACGAAGATGATCTGCCTGCAAATTTTGGTTCGCTACCATATCTCGTAAGATACGATGTTACTAGGTACCTTCGAAATTCGAGTTGTGGAATAGGATCATGAGATCTGTTATAAAGGTACCAAGCATTTTCAAAAGTTATGTCCAGTATCCATGTAAATAGATACCACTACCATATTTTTGAAGCTTGTTCCTAGTCGGTATCTAGCTACATTTAGGTCCATAAGGTCAGTTCCTCCCATTGACGAATTATATTTTCCAATCAAATGTGGATGTGGCACCTGGACAATTTTTTTCTCAGGCTGAGAAAATCGTTTCACAATATTTATGCGAGCAACTCCATAGCAGGTTGAAGCAACTGTAACAATATTTTTGTCAAGCCAACAAACGAAAATAATTCCATTTTGACGATCTAATATAGAAAAAAACACGCCTCTTGAATGTTTTTCAATGCTTTTTTGTCTGACAATGGAATATCTCGCGGCAAACGATTATCTCTGAGAGTTCCAGTACACCACATACCTTAATCTCTCATATTAGAATGGACTTGTAAATAAGTTGTCGGTGTACAATTTATAGGAAAGATTTTTTTTACCCTCGGGGAGCTCCCTCAACATTGACACAAACGGAGCAGTCGCCTTTCCATACAACCCTTTATCATTGACCGCACTATTAGGATTTTGGCCTTGATATAAATAAAAGTTAATGAGATATCTTGCCTTAGTGTTCAATGACCACATGGTGTACCCAAAACGTATGAGTTTTCCTCTTATTAACTGTTTATAACTGTGCCTACCAAAGTATCATAATTGATTTCTGATTCGGGCACAAAATGTAAAAATTTATTTTTTAACATATTCATCAAAGGGCGGATTTTCCAGGCTTTGTCGTTTTCATCTGGTTTACTGTTGTCAGCAAAATGCAAAAACTGCATCACCTTGTTCGAACCTATTTTTTCTCATTGAATTTTTCAAGAAATCATTGCCCATGTCACGTTTTGAGTCCCAGTAGTACTTTCTAGCTGGTTTGTGGTTGTATCCACTCAAAATTAGAATAGCAAGAGCACACTTTACCTCTTTTTTAGTGATATTTTGATCTTGGGCGTTTTTAAAAAGAGCATAAGTCCATGGCAAGCCGCGCGATCTTGTTGAAATATATATCTCGCATCTGGAAGACAATAATTATTCTTGTAAAATAACTTAATATTTCTTGAAACAACCCTTGTGATATTCTTCCCGTGGCAATCGAATAACTATACTTCGTATATCTACCACACATACCTCAAACTTAGATTCATCACTCCAAATAACCGAATACCATATACATTAAATCCAGTTTCGGTACTACTTTCCAAAAATTTGGTTTGTTTTTTGTTTTTTTTTTATAAAACGTAATTTTTTCTTTGCCTAAGGTGAGATGATAAGTTTAAATATTTAAGATAAGAAGTGTATACAATGTAGTCTGCACAATACCCCTTCCATCAAGAGTAATAATTCGATTTAGCACCAGATTAGTCATTATTTGGGTCTTGTTCATATTAATCTTTAGTCCGACCTCCAAGGAAGCTTGATATAATTTTCCAAACAATATTATTGCATCATCCATATGATCGACTATACAGACGATGTCATCTGCAAATGAAAAGTGAAATCAATCAAATGAAAGTTTCTCTCCATTTTTGTTAATAATGTGTCACCGTCTCTCCATAATAGCTTTGAAGAGACGGTACACCTCGCTGTGTACTTTGGTACACCTCGCTGTATACAGAATTTATTTGTTTCCTGTTCAGATAGTCTTATGCTAGCTGTAGGATTTTGGTAGACATATTTGATTATGTTAGTGTAGCGATGATCTATTCGGCATTCTGTCAATGCTTTTAACATTTTCTGATGGCTTATGGTATCGAATGCTTTCTCGTAGTCGACAAATATCAGTGCCAATGGTTTGTTGTATTCTGCAGACTTCTCTATCAGGTTCTTTATCCCTAGTAAGTGGTCGTTCCCGAGTGCTGTCTCTCTCTTGTCGTTTCCTCATTGCTGAGGATCGTGATTCCCTACAATGCGGGCTGTCAATTCTCTCCATCTCTTGCGATTTTGGGCTGCTCTCATGGACTCGGAAAACGTCTCTCCAGTGGCTTTCTGTACTTGATCTGACCATCGGATAGGTGAGCGTCCTCGGCCTCTACGTCCTTCTACGTTTCCGCACACAATTAGTCTTTCTAAGTTGTCATTGTCTCTTCTCGCAATGTGGCCAAAAAACTTTAAAACATTTGCAAGACACTGAGAGGAGAGTCTGGTCTGAATGTTTAGCTCTTCGAGAATCGACTGATTGGATCTGTGCTCCGTCCACGAGACGCGTAGCATTCGTCTCCAGCACCACATTTCGAATGCGTCAATCCTTTTCCTATCCTCTGATTTTATTGTCCATGTTTCGGCACCGTAACTAAAGATTGAAAAAACGAGTGTCCGTACCAGTCTCATTTTGAATTTTTTGGACAAAGAGCGGTCCTTCCATATTTTTGACAGTCGACTCATCGCGTTCTTGGCCATTCCTATTCTTCTGCGAATTTCCGTATGGCAGGAGGCTGCATTGCTTAAGGAAGATCCTAGATACGTGAACTCGTCTACTTTCTCGAATTGATTTAGGGCGCCTGTTGTTTGGAGGATATTCGCGTGGTCCACAATCATGATTTTTGTTTTCTGATTATTAATCTTGAGCCCACACTTGTTGCTTTCGGTTTCTACTCTCTTTATCAGTCTCGACATCTCCTCTTCAGATGTTGCTATCAGTGTTGTATCGTCTGCGAATCTTAAGTTTGAGATCTTTTTCCCTGCAATGGAGATGCCGCCTCTCCATCCATCGAGTGCGTTCCTCATTATGTATTCTCCATATAAATTGAACAGGTCTGGAGATAGTATGCAGCCTTGTCGTACACCTCTGCTGGTTTTGAAGGTATCAGATTGCTGGTTTTCAATTCTTATTTTAACTGAGTTATCTTCGTATAAGTTTTTAATTAATATTGCCAAATGATCTGGAACTCCCATCTCATGAAGAACTGTCCAGAGAACTTCCCACTTTACACAATCAAATGCCTTTTGGTAGTCTAGAAAACAGATTATTATTGGAATTTTAAATTCGCGGGCCTTTTCTATGAGCTGCCGCATATTAAGGATTTGCTCTCTCGTACCCTTCCCTTTGACAAAGCCTGCTTGTTCTTGGGGAATTTGGTTGTCTAAGTACTGTTGCAAACGGCGTTTAATGATTCTTAGTAATATTTTGCTTGGATGGGAAATCAGTGAGATGGTACGATAATTACTACACTTTGTAGTTGTTCCTTTTTTATGGATTGGTATGCACAATGATGTGCGCCATTCTCTGGGCCACTTTCCGCATCTCCAAATTTTATTACAAAGTTTCCACATTATGTAACATCCTTTGTCTCTCTTCTGAAGGAGCTCTCCCGTGATA